TGTCCCTCTTGCAATACAAGTACGTCCTGGACAATCCATCTTAGGTTGCTACTTCTCATCTTTCACACTGGAAGGCAGCATTGGCTCCGGATTCACCTTCAGCAGCTACTGGATGCATTGGGTGAGGCAGTATCCGGGGAAAGGACTGGAATGCGTGGCATACATAAACCCCCGTTCCAGCCCTATTTACTACTCAGACAAGGTCAAGGGACGCTTCACCATCTCCAGGGACAATGCCAAAAGCCAGCTGTATCTTCAAATGAACAGCCTCAAGCTGGAGGACACCGGACTCTATTACTGCACGAGAGACACAGTGAGAAGAAGTGAATCTGAAGCCTGGAAAAAACTGCCCGTTCCTCAGAGCAGCTCTGCGAGTTCATCCATGAACCAGAGCTTCAACTGCTATGCCAAAATTGTGAAGAATCATGCCTAAAAACAACAACAAAAAACCACAAAAGGTTACTCTCCTGAACAGAACAAAAACATAAAAAGTCACAGATAGGGTTAGAATAGAAAATCCAGAAATAATTTCAAACGTTTTGGTTATCTGCTGATAAGATTTTCTCTGAGCAGAACTAGAGGAGAGGAAGTCAATGTGAAATCCAAACAGAAAACCTCCTTTGTTCAGAGCTGCTATCCATGTTGACTCTTGCACACTTTTGGATTTGTGCATTTCACGGATAATATAGGAGAATTCTCCCCAGGGTACCTTTCAGGTGGTGAGTAGGACACGTCGGCATTGAAAAGCAAATAAGTTCTTTGAGGGAAAGACGAGGCTAAAGGGAGGTGGGGGAAAGAGTGTTGCCCAATTCTCATAAAGAAGTCATCATCTCCTTCAGACCAGAAGGACTGATTATTCTATTGGAAGTATTAAATATGAATTGTGCCTCTCCAAACTGTCCAGACCAGTTACCTTTCCAAGCCTATTTCTGATGAGGAAATGAAAGAGCAGCTTTCCTACACCTGCTCTGATCTTCTGGAGCTGAGTCACATCTTCCAAGACTCACTTCCTCTCTTGCAAAACAAGCATCTCCCTGGAGAACCAGGCCTGCTTTGGTTTATCATGCACTCCAGGGGGCAGTATTTTCCCATAGAATCCCATTAGCCATGGGGGGAGGGGCAGGAAAATAAAACCAGGATTTTCTCATGGGATTTCAGTTCTCGGGCTGATGATTCTGTTGGTTGGTGGCTTGAAAACCCATAGAGATGGTCCCCTGTCAGTTCCACTCCTGGAGAAGCTACTTTTCTCTCCACAAAAACAAGGCTGAGTTCGCTATAGTCCTCCTTTCTTGAACATAAAGCTAAATGAATTTTTAGGAGACCACAAGGTGACCTATTCAACTTTTCTCAAGAAAGTGTTTGGTGATAAAGTGATTTCTTGGTTTTACTTTGTGACTTGCAAAGATACAGTCCTTGTTCTTTGGAAACAATTCTTGGTTGTGTAGTCTGAATCAAATTAACTTTGTTGGATGTATTGTCGAAGGCTTTCACGGCCAGCATACGATGGCTGGTGTGGGTCTTCTGGGCTGTGTGGCCGTGTTCTGGAAGTTTTGTTTCCTAACGTTTCACCGGCACCTGTTCAGCACCTGAACTCAGCTCAACCACCAGGACATGTGAACAGTTCACACAATGAACTTGCTAATCACC